TAGTCGTCGAGTGACTTCCCGGTCGGAACCTCCGTCGTTCTGCACTACATTACCAAGATAAGTGAAACTATCCAAGACCTCAATGTTCTAGCCACAGGCATGCACAGACTGAACATCGACATCCAACAAATCCCCAAACTCTTGAACCTTGGTCTTGGTCTACTTGACCGAGAGTCCCAACGGCTTCGCCTCCTCATGCAGCGTCTCGAGAGCTACTTCCAGGACCTCCATTGTCTCTGCTAGAATCACTGCATCATCGGCAAAGTCGAGGTCTGTGACCTTGAAATTACCAATTGATGCCCCACAGGAACTACGGTCCACGGCACGGGCAAATCTCCAGTCCATACAAGTATTGAAAAAGGTTGGGGCCAAGACACATCCCTGTCCACCAGGAAGAAGGCAGAGATGCCCTCCCCACTCTTGACAGCACTCTCTGTATCTGTATACATGCCAGACAGTAAACTAATAATCCCACGAAAACCCAGTAGGCGAAAGCCTTCTTGAGATCAACATAAGCTGCAAGCATACCTTGTTGAAACTCAAGTCAGCGTTCCACAAGGACACAAAGTGCTAAGACCCGATCTACAGTTGATTTCTTGGGGGTAAAACCAGATTGCTCAGGTCTCTGTGCTCGTAAAAGGTAGTCGCGCACTCGCGCCAAAAACAGATGAGCAAGGACCTTGCCTGGTACACTGAGCAATGTAATACCTCTGCAGTTGCCACAGTCCCTTTGGTCCCCTTTCCCTTTCCAGATAGGGATGACCAAGTCCCCCTTTTCCAGTCAGAAGGAATGGTACTAGTCTCCCAAACGGCAGATAGGACTGCATGCAAACCACAGATCATGGCTTCTCCACCCACCTTCAACAACTCCGCAGTAATCCCACAGACACCACCAGCCTTTCCACTCTTCAGCTTAGAAACTGCCCTTCTTACCACCTCGATGGAAGGTGGTGCCTCACTGATTGGTGGATCAGCCACTAGTGGCTGTGTGCCAGCCAACGGGAGTTGTGAAGACGAGGGATCTACCCTATACAGTTACTCAAAGGACTCAGCCTAGTGGGCCCTATACTCACCTGGCTCCGACACAATGTGACCATCCTCTACCCTCACCGAACCCAGTTGAGAGACCTTCCAACTTTTCCACGATGCCTCTAACGTACCTGTGCAAGACTTGGTTCCCATCCAGTCTGGCAGCACGACTTATCTCTACAGTGATCAGCGTCTCGTCTGAGACAACACACCTCCTTCGCCGAGGAACTCCTCAGCAGCTGACAAGGTTTCTCACTTAAAAGTATCCCACACTTCAGCAGGGTCCTGTAGAGTATCAAGCACTTCAAACTGATTTGAGACGGCCACTGCGTACTCCTGAGCCATCTCCTCACTCTTGAGCCTCTCGAGATGAAACACCTGTTAGTGAGATCTCGGGATGCATCTAGATCTGAGGCAGAGCCTTAGTGTTGCAACAGCAAGTCTATGGTCGGTAGCAAAGAACTCAGCACTCCTAAAAATTCTACAGTTCTGAAGGATCTTCCAGCGAGTATCCACAAGAATATGGTCGATCTCTTTAGCTACAACGCGATATTCATATCCAAGTCCAGCGGTGTAGATATCGTCCCTGGTACCACGAACCCGCAATCCTCAGCCTCCTAGATCTTGCGAAGTCTAAGAGGCATGAGCTATTGATGTTCCTAGTACCAGAGCCATAGGGACCGATGCATAGTACGTATTCTTCCCTGTCAGTGCCAGTGACCACATTGAAGTCCCCCAAAACCATGAGGATGTCCCCCAGGCACATT